AGTACTGATTATCACACACAAGCAAAGTAATTGAGGCTGGAGAAAAACTATTCAAAGGAAGTAGAACAATCCTTGGAGATAGTGCAGGAATGGGAATAGTGCCTGTTTTCCTCTGCAGAGAGGAAAACCTCATAATCCAGGAGCATTGGTTAGAGTGGAAAGACAAGGCTTACCTCAATAAAAGGAGGGAAATACCCTTAGCCTAAACTATTCTTAAAAGCAAGACTTAACAAAATAAAATTACTTGTTCCCAAGTAATGTAAGCACATCCCAGGACAAAGATCAAAAATATTTATAGGAATACAAAAACATCCTGCACTTAATGAGGTAAAATTCACAATACTAATATTCAAAAAAAATTACCAGGCACTCCACTATGGAAAAAGTATGGAGATTCCTTAAAAAATTAAAAACTACTAGCACGTGTCCCAGCAATTCTACTTCTAGGTATTTAGCTAAAGAAAATAATGAAGCGCTAATTCGATAATATACAGGGTCCAGCACAAATAGTGCCCCTTTTTATTACATAAAAATCTTTTAATACAAAATCATAAGCATATAATTCTGGAACATAACAATATCACACTCTAGCACACCATACGCCATTTTAGGGGAAATGTTCAAATTGTTGTCCACCTCATGTAAGACATTCACATACCCTGCCAACCACACTCAATGGCGTTACTTCTGCTGGAACCTGTATATGAATCCATATGTTTGTTGTAGAATTATTTACAATAACCAAAATTTAGAAGCTACCTAGGTATCTACAGACAGCTGAATGGATAAAGATATGGTATATATTTATATGTGATGGAATATTACTCAGCAATAAAAAGTAATGGAACCTTGCTATTTGAAACAACATAGATGGACCTAAAGGATATGATGCTAAGAGAAATAAGTCAGAGAAAAATAAATACCATACAATTTCATTTACATGTGGAATCTAAAAGAATAAAACAAACAAAACAAAACCAGGGTAATAGAAACATTACAAACTGATGGTTGCCAGCAGGGAGAAGTGCAAAGGGATGGGTGAAAAAGGTGAAGGGGAATAAGAAGTATAAACTTCCAGTTATAAGATAAATAAGCCATGGAGATGTAGCACACAGCACTGGGAATACAGTCAATAATATTATAATAAGTTAGTATGGTGACAGATGATTACTAGACTTAGTGTGGTGATCACATTCTAAGGTAAACAAATGCTGAATCACTATGTTGTGCACCTGAAACTAATGTACTATTGATGTCAAGTGTAATTTAATGTAGTCTGAATAACAAAAATTACCAGGTGTGCAAAGCAGAAAGATAAAACACATAATGAAAAGAATAATCAGTCAACTGAAACTGATTGAGAAATGACAGAATTAGTAGACAAGTACATTGAAAATTTTATTATGACTGTATTTCATCTGTTCAGAAGCTAGAGAGAAGACCAAATATGTTAAGTAGAGACATGGAAAATATAAAAAAATAATCCAAGTTTCACTCTAGAGAGGGAAACTACATTGTCTGAAGTGAAAAATATATTGAGTTAACAAGAGATTATACATTTCAGAAAAAAAATTAATGAACTTGAAGGCAAGCAAAAGAAACTATTCAAAGTGAAGTACAGAGGTACAAGACAAAAAAATTAACAGGCATTAGTAAATTGTAGGACAATACTGAGTGGTCAAGTATACCTATAATGGAAGTCCCCAAAGGAGAAGTGAGGGGAAACCAAAAAAAATGGAAAAATAATGGTTGAAAATTTTTCAAATTTCATGAAAACTAAGCCACAGATCCAAAAACAAAAAAGAAAACCAAAATCTATTTCAAACACCAGAAAGATGAAGAACACTACACCAAATCTCATAATCAAGCTGCTTAAAAATCAATGATAGAGGAAAAGTAAAAGCAGACAGGAAAAAAATAGACATTATGTACAGAAGAAGAAAGATAAGAAAAAGATTAAATGTTTTCTCTTTAGATCAGGAACAAAACTAGGATGTCTAATCTCACCACTTCTATTCAGCTTTTCATTGGAGGTCTTATTCTGTGTAATAAGGTAGGAAAAAGAAATAAAAGGCATCCAGATTGGTAAGGAAGCAGTAAAACTGTCTTTACTCATAGAACATAATTGTCTATGTTAAATACTAAAAATCTACTACAAGTTTTAAGTGAGTTTAGCAAGGTTGTAGGATACCAGGTAGATGTAAAAGAATCCACTGTGTTTCTAGAGAGTAGCAACAAGCAATTAAAAATTAAAATTTAAAAAGCAACACCGTTTATCACAGAATAAAAATATGAAATATGTAGAGGCGCACAAAACCTGCACACTGAAAACAACAAAACAGTGTTGAGAGGAATTAAAGAAAACCTAAGGAAATGGAGAAAAATGCTGTGTTAATGAATTGGAAAATACCATGTTGTTAAAAATGTTAGTTCTCCCTCAACTGATCTATACTTCAATGCAATGACAATCAAATCACCAGTAGGCATTTTTTTGTGGAAACTGACAACCTGATTCTAAAGTTCATATGAAAATGCAAAGGGCCTAGGAGAGGCAAAACAAGTTTGAGAAAGAACAAAGTTGGATGGATAGCACAAACTGATGTTAAGATCTATTATAAAGCTATAGGTATCAAAATAGTGTTGTATTGACATGAATATATACAAAATTATCAATGGAATACAATAGTGACTCCAGGAATAGATTCACACAGATATAATCAATCAATTTTTCAACAAACAACTCAACAAATGCTAGAAAAACTGGATATCCACAGGCAAAAGAACAACCACCACCATCAACATAAATGCTGTTATCTTCATCTCACACTATACACAAAAATTAACTAAAAAAGTCATAGGCCTGAATCTAAGAAATCATAAGAGAAAATTGTGACATTGGGTTAGGCAAATATTTCTTAGATATGACACTAAAAACACTATCAATATAATTTAAAAATTGATAAACTGGACTTCATCAAAATGAAAATCTACACTTTAAAAGACACTAAAGAGAAAATGAAAACACAAATCACATAATACAAGAAACTATTTTCAAATCATGTTCATGAGTATATAGAACTGGAATGCTCACACACTGCTGGTGGAAATGTAAAATAGGACAACCAGTTTGGAAAATAGTTTGGCAGTTTCTTAAAACGTTAAACATACACCTACCATACAGCCCAGTCATCCCATTCCTAAATATTTATCCAAGAGAAATAAAAGCATATGTCCACACACAGACCTATACACAAATGGTCAAAGCAGCTTTATTTCTAATACCTAAAAAATGTAAACAACCCAAATGTCTACCAACAAGTGGATGGACAAACAGTGAACAAATTATTATATATCCATACAATGAAATATTACTCAGCAATAAAGAGTAATGAACTATTAGTACTTACTACGACATGAATGAATCCCACATTAATCATTCTGGATGAATGAAACTAGACCCCCTACCCATTGGAAAAAAAAAGTACTTTCTGAATAATTCCATTTGTGTAAAATTGTAGAAGAAGCAAACTAATCTATAGTAACATATAAGTGGTTGCCTGAGAATACATAGGCAGGGAAGGGTGAAGGGGTGGGTGGTGGAGAATAGGAAGGATTATGAGGAAACTTTGGGGATGATGGGTATATTCATTATCTTAATTGTAATGGTTTCATGGGTGTATACAGATGTCAAAACCTATCAAACTTCATACTTTAAACACATGTAGTTTATTATATGCAATTATATTTCAATAAAGCTGTTAACTCTTAAATTGATTAAAATCGAATAAAATTAAAAGTTCAGTTCATCAGTTACCCTAGTCACATTTCAAGTTTTTAACAGCTACACATGGCTAGAGGCTACCGTTCTGGACAGCACAGAACAGGACTTTGCCATCAATGCTCAAGTTCCATTGCACAGCACCGCCGCAACGCATGCACAAAAGAGCTGTTTCTTTCATTTCTCCTACATCCACCTACCCTGAATTTCAAGAATGGGAATAAGGATGGCATCATGGCACTCACATAAATTATCTGAGAATGCTAAAAAGCAGACTTTATTAAGTTTAACGTAACTGTAATGGACAATATACCTTCTATTTATAAACAAAGATAGCACAGTGTTTCCTCACTCAGACATCACAGCTTCCATGAACTGCATGTAATGAGCTCCCTCCAAAGCTCAAGTTGAAGACAATTTTAAAATAAATGACATGGAAATAAATGAAGCAGACAATATCCCTTTGGAACTTTATCCTTGTAATCAACGTGGTTATTAGCTTCAATGTAACTCCTAGATGAGAATATACAATTTTTTCAGATACTCACAGATATCTTAGTGAGTTAACTTTTTGTTCTGCTTCAGAATATGCTACATAATGTGACTGAATTTTCCTATTTAAAAAACAACAAGCATATAACTCACAATAAATACAATTAGAAATTTCAAATGTGAGAACAGACATTCAAATAGAATGCTATGGTATATACTGAAATCTTCCACATTCAAAGAAAAGTTCATAAAATTAGCACAGGGAAGTTGTTAAAACTTAGTATCCTCACTGAAGCTTTTTTTCCTTCCTTCATTGTAGCTCTCAGTTTTGAGAGAGGTGATTTTATTTAAAAAGACTTGAACTCTCTTTTCTGCCCCCCTTGTAGCCTATGGACTTGGAAGGCAGATTATGTCTGCTCCATGTTTGTTTGTTTGTTTGTTTGTTTTCATACAGAGAATGCAGGGCTGAAATCCTGAACCATCCCTGTTCCAAAGCTTGATCCACTAACCCTTTTTGCATAGTTTGATGTCTGAGTCATCAGTCTTAGAAACAGAATATGGAAAAAGGCAACTGAGGTTAAGGGTGAGAAAGGAGGCTGGCGGCCAGTGCAGACCAACCAGGACAAGACGAGCCCAAACAGTGCCTTGTAGTAGATAAGCAAGAAGTATAAAAATAGAAACCAAGTCCCTCTGTTTGCAGAAGCAGAACTCACAAGCCAGTTTCACTTACTTTTTTACACCGACAGAGCCATTTTCCTTGTTTTCCATGTCAACAGATAGCATGGGAAGGCTGCAGGGTTCCTTTACTTCAGCAACTAATTAATAAGGGAGAAAAGCTTGTGTTTAATTCTTAGAAAGTGAGAGACGAATATATATTCTGATCGGAAACATAATGGTTCCTTTTACAGCTTCACACCAGTTCACGTATGTTTGTTTAAATCTCCAGTTCCCTCAGCGATTGGAGAGATGTGATTAAACCTAAAGAACTGGAGGAGACGGATAGGGGTGCTTTCCTCTGTACTGGCACTCCCTGCCTTGACAATAAGCATTTGCAAATGAAATTGAATCCTTGTTCAAAACAAGTTCTGTGTGAACTGGCACAGCTTCCTCTGGGTGCAAGCTCTCACTTAAGACATTGCAACTCACAAATTGAGGCAAAGTGGAGAAAAACAATCCCCCTTTTCCTGCCCCTTTCCACCATGGGCTGTGATTTCTTTTTTCTTATGGCATTTGGTTGGGGGTTTTTTGTTCACTCCCTCTCTTTCTATATTTTTTTCGCAACAATGCCAAAGAGCACTTCAAGCTTTTGTTAGCAAGTATCCCCCTACCTCACACACTCTCAGTGAAAGCCTCACAAACCCGTGAGATGGCCACGCTTTGATAACGCTGGAAGCTCACAAAAATGTCAGATAGCCTTTAGCACGAAAAGGTGGTGCTAGGATGTGTGTAAGAGAGGGTAGGCAGCTAATTAGATTTATATAAAAATCACCAGAACATTCAAGGAGATATAATAGCATCCATCACTTTGTCTTTTTGTTTAGTAGGATGAGCACTGTGAAAAAATAAAAACCCTCCGCAACTAATATGCAATTAGCAAGATGAAAAAGCTATGAACAAAACTGCTTTAAAAAAAAACTAGTTCTGAAACCTGCTTACTCTTCTACAGCTGAAGCCATAAATTAAATACATTTCCTCTCAAATCACTTTATACTTCGGCACCCCTTCTCTAGGGATTACTCTGACATGACAAGTGCACCATTTAGTATATTCACAAGATTTTATCACTGTTAGAGAAGTAGATGATTAACAAATAATACTGTAAGTGTGGGATAATCTTCACTCCTCACACACACACACACACACACACACACACAAACTTCAGTCGCCAAAGCACTTAGAGCATTCAGAGAGAAACCCAACATTGCATATACATATAGGCATTAACATACATTCACACACCGTCACAGAGGAGACAGGAGATAGTGCTGCTGCTCCATGCCAAAAGAATGATTTCACTTCAGTTGGAAACTGTTCACATATTCACCATTTTCTAAGCATCTCAGAAAACAAAACAAAACAAAACACTCACAATGATACTCTCTAACACCACACTACATTGTCTTATTATTATTATTTTCTTTTTTTTTTTGTGGAAGAGTAAAAAGAAAACCTACCTAGAAGCAACTAAAACATGTCATTTTTTATAGGCTTATCAAGAACAGCCAAAGAAACCCCAATGTTTTCTTTCACAAAGTAGGCTGGCAAAGGAATTCAATAAGGAGGTACAATTTGACACAGTGAAATAAAACCAGGCTGGCTCTGAGCCAACATGACGTTAGGAATCACACACAAGCTGCACCAACTGCCTTCTGGTTCATGGCTGACTTTTTAAAGCTACAGTGTGCCCGTTCACTTTTGCAAACTACCTTCAGCCCAATTAGTGGAAGTGAATGAATCCCGAGTGCAAGAACTGCACAATTCTCCCTACACTTCCCCTGCACCTAGAAAAACAAGCTGTATCTATAGCTTATTTTCGCCCCCCCTTCATTGTTGCTGCATGATAAGTGTTTGCTATTGTTCTGAACATGAATGTCATGTTTCAAACTCTTTTTCTCCCCAGTGGGAGAAAAAATAGAAGAGAAAAGAAGAGAAAGAACCTAGTGTTTATGCACTATATCCAGTGAACACGCAGAAGCTGCATTCCCGCGTTTCTCTTTTTTCCTAATAGAGACTTGTATACAAAGTTCCCAGGGCTGGCTTTTAAGTGATCTCTTTGTGAGGATAAGTAATGCAATGCCCAACAGAAAATCCTTTTACTTCATCACGCAGGAAATAACATATTTCAAAGGATGCAAAATAGATGACCAGATCTCTAGAGAACACCCACATTCTTTTATTTTGGTATTCATCCTACCAGATGAAGTTAGCAAAAATTAAAAATGAAGCAAACCTTACTCTCCAAAACAATTAGTTCTGGGAGGTTTAATTTTAACTGTTTATTCCAGTTTCACTGAAAAAGCATAATTGCCTACACTCAATTCACACTTATTATCTATGAGCACCTGGTATTCTATTAGTTACATATGAAAAAGATGTTATGCCAACCCTCAAATTCATTGTATCTTCACCATCTTAAATCTAAATTTTCAGGAAATTGGGAGGTAGAGTGGAGATTGGGCATGGTCTTTCGGTGAAGTTACCCCTGATCAGTCTCACAGCTCTTCCTTGGCTGGAAACAAGGCGAGAGACAAACATTCCCATTCCACAAACATGCTGCAAACACATGAAACACATAGTTGCCAACAGTTGGACACTTGTAGGCCAAGACGTGAGCAAAACCACTCAAGATAGGACAGAGAATACAGGTTTCCAAGGAGGATCCTAGAAAAAGTCATCTGCTGCTGGAATGCTGTTTAGATTTCAGGCAGAATTGAGGAGAAATCTGTGGATCACCCTTTTCCTTAGAATTTTTTAAGGTCACTAGATCAGGACTATGATCTAAATTTACAAACTGAATTTATTTTTTACTCTTACTTATTCCAGGAATGATGTTAGAAATTTTGAACTTCTTGAAAAAATCATTGCTGAGAAAGATTTCTCTCTGGCCATCTTTGCCATTGCCCCCTTGAAAAAGCAAGCAATAACGTATGGGACACTTCTAAGTGCTCATATATTTTTGAGCACAATTTACTGAGCAAGGGTCAAATAGGTGGGTTTTTTACCATTGATGATCAAAATGATGAACTCCTCTGGAGATAGAGAGCTCTTTCACCAGCAGATTTTATAATGGTTTTGGAATTGATCTGAAATGAACTGTTCTTCAGCTAAACTCAAATGGAACAGGGGAGGGCTGTGAGTCCTGGGGGCGAGGAAGGTGGCTTGACAGTACCATCCTGCCACCCCTCAGAGCAAAATCAGATTCAGCTCTACTCTTGAAAGGAGGGGCAATGAAAATGTGGTCACACCCAAGTCTTCCTTAAACACAATCACGGGAAGAAGGATTCTGTGAAGATTCTCCAAGAATTCCTTCCTACATATAGAAAAGAACATCCCTTCCTCTCTTGCTTGCTGTGATCAAAGTTTGCCTGAGATGAGAGTAAGGGTTTATGAAGGTGCAGGAAATAATCCCACTTCACAAATAATGAGCCACAAAGGCATTCTAAATTCTGACACTAGGAGGTTTCATGCATGAGCTAGTTTCTAACTTTAGAATAAAATGACATTTGTGGGTATAAGTATATATACTAGTGCTCACCCACTTCCTCTCCACTCCCTTCAATGAACTAATATTAACCTTCTTTTCTGCTAATAAAAATGATAAGTATGTAGTGTGTATGGTGTTCATGGTATATAGCATAAATGGTGTAATGCACAAGGTAGGGACCAAACAAAAAACATGGAATTATCCTCTGGAGCGCAGTCCCCTTGTAGTACAGGCTTTCCCAGCTAGGTTCATGTTCTAGGAACCCATCTATATCAGTGTACCAGCTGGTGTTGTTGTGAGAGGCTGCGTGTGGCTTCAGTAATTCTTTTATGAAGACTCTTTCAAGATGTTGCCCAGTTCATGATGGGTGATTTATGAGCTATGTTCAGTAGTTTTTGACCAAAAACAGCATGACTCCCATGCCCCACCCTACCTATTCACAGGGTCAGAGTGCCTTTTTTTGTTTCCCCAGAAGAAAAAAAGTCCTCAAAGCTAAACACTTTGTTGATGTGGAAGAGGTGAAATAAAAAATGGCAAAAGCACTAAGAGGCATCAAAATTGAAGAACTCAAAAGCTATTTTGGGCAGTGGGAAAAAGTCTCCATAGGTGTACTGCATCAAATGGAGAGTACTTTGAAGGTGACTGAAGTTTAAACATGTAAGAATAAATTCACAATTTTTTCATAAATTCTGGTTCTTGGGTCCCCTCTCGGATGTGCGTGCAATGTGTGTGATGAGTGCAATTTTATGCTATGTGCACTGTGTGTGACTGTTGCACCTGTTTGTGGTGTGTGTAATGTATATATGTGTTTGCAGAATGTGTAGTGTCCATGGTGTGTGTATGTTAGTATAGGGTGTGAGAGATGCAAACAAACAAGACCCTCTGATCTGGGCTATTACAGACAGTGCTAAAATACCATTCGTTGGTCCTCGTGTTGGGATTCTGGAGCAGAACTTCTGAGCACACTTGGGAATGGGTTCAGACGGGGCGGGGGGGATGGATCAGAAAGGGACTGAAACGGGGCGCCTCCCTTACGCTTCTTTTATTGATCAGGAGCTATCCCCCAGAGTGAGCAGCCTTGCCCAGAAAGCCAGTGCCATTCCACAGGTGCCATCGCCCCTGCTTCCCGCCGTATCGGCCCCCAAGAGTGTCCAGCCCACACTACAGTGCAGACCTGGGTCCATTTGGCTGCTGAACAAATTTCGATAAGTCTCCCCAGGGCTTGGCAGAGTTCAACGGTCCCCAAACGCGATTCAAGGGAAAGTGAGGAGTGGCCTGGAGAAGGGGCGCTGGGTGCAGGACAGGAGAAAGCCTCCTGGACCTGCGGCGCCGTCCGAAAGCCAAATGAGTCGCTTGTGGCACAGGCGACAGAGGGAAAAGTTTCTGGCCAAGACTTTCAAGAAGAAACGGTTTGTTTTGAGTTTGGGGATCCCCCGGGGCAGCCTGTCTTTGGAAAGGGAGTGTGGTCCCAGCCGAGCCACGCCACCACCCGGCTCCATCCCTCGAACTCTACTCGGCAGCCTCCGCTGGCCGGGCACGCTTCTGCCCCCAGTTCCACTCCTGGGTGACACGCTCGTGGGTGCAACAAGCTGAAGAGGCACCAGACACACAGCAGAGACGAGGGAGGGTTTTTATTGGGATTTTCTTCGTTTACTTTCACCCCGGAGAAGGGACAGGGTGGGAGCGTTCCCACAGCACTCGCAGCACTAGTGTATCACTCACCTCTCCGCATGGCCGGTGCCGGGAGGGTCTACCCAGCGCAGAGCTCGTCGGACGCCGGGCACCCAGCCCCAGTACAGCCGGCGGGGCGCGCGCGGCACGCCGGGACTTGTAGTCCTCTTTGGGCTGGCGGGGCGGGGTGGGGGGTCAATAGCCGGGCGGCAGGAACCTGGAAGGCCAGGGAGTGAAGTGATGGGAATGGCCTGAAGAAGGGGCCTTGTGAACGGAAGGGAGGACAGTATTAAAAACTTAAATCCCCTACGGACTGGGGGGAGGGGAACACACCTAGAAAGACTTTTACACTGGGGAGTTTCAGACGAAAACCACGATCTTTTTCAGTGGGTTTTGGCAGTAATGAGAAAGCGATTTCCCAGGCCAAGTTTATGTTATTTAGGGCCTTACTTATTCTTTCACCCCCAGCACACACGTGGCATTCCTGCCAGAAACACCGATTCTGTTGCTCACAGAGAACTGAGTTGAAGCCCTGGGTATGCAAAAGGAGGGCAAATCATTGTACCTTACATTTATAGAACACTCTACAGTGTCTGATTTATTATATGAGAACCATAAAGCAACAAGGAGGCAGAGAAAAACTCAAGATGCCGGGCTTTTTTTTTTTTTTTTTAATGTTAGCACCTGCCAAGGTTGGAGCCACTCACACTGTCCATTTCCTTCCAGAACCCTATCTTGGGGGGAGGGAGGGAGGAGCTGCAGACAGATGTGGTGGGGAAGTGAAAGAAGAGGAGCCTGTTCTGGAGGACTTCCTTGAAATAGCTGAGGAATAGGTCCTTGTGAAATAAGGATGTAAGTAAAACCAAAAGAAGAACCTGTGGACTGGAGGAATAGAGTGGGAAGGAAAAGGCAGGTGGGATAGGGACAGAGAGTGAATAGAACATTGTAATTAGTCTAGAGGCCATAGGAGAAGTTGTGTGTGTGTTTTTAAAGCCAAAAGAAACAAGTTTTAGAAGCCAGATGGACCCGGAATCCTGGTGTTGTCACTTCAGAGCTACCTCTGTGATCTTAGGTAAGTTATTTAAACTCTCAAACCTCACCTTTAAGATTTAAATAATAGTTCCCACTTTATGATGTGGCTGTGTGAATTAAAGGATATGGAAAGCACTTTGTATAGTGTAATTATTATTAACAATTATTAATTAAATAATACAATTAATTATTTAAAATTTAAAATATATTAATATTATTATTAATATTTAAAATTTAAATATTGTTCATTTAAAATTTAAAATATATTAATATTATTATAGTGTGTAAATAGTATTTATACTTATTGTATACCAGGCACTATATTAAGTATAAATAGTATCGTTTATTTATACTA